CTGCGTGTGTCAGGCGCGACCAGACACGGTGGCCTGCGTGACGGTGAGCGGTGGCTATGTCGGGGTGCCCAGGGCCACGCTCCGTTTTCATGATTCCCTAGACGGACTCTCAGAACTCAGAAACACCGTTACGCTCACGGCTCTGGTTACGTGGTGTTAGAAGCGGGACTCTGTCTCCCTCCAGGAAAGAAACACCGTGGGAACACCCACAGCTCCAGTTCAAACGCCTTCCTCGATTCTGTGGTGCCCCCACTTCCCGGCTCCCCGAGGAGCCGACCGCACGTGGCATGTCCCCCCTTCACCCCACCCTCTTTGCCAGGTCCTCCTTTTTCTGCAGCTCTGACAAGGCAGCGGCGTGCCCGCGTTTTCTCAGTGCTGAAGCCCTACTGTGTGGGGCGTCCGCCTCCCTCCAAGCACAGCGATGCCCTTCTCGCTGGTCACAGCGGCCTGCCTGCCGCCTGTGCGGTCGGACAAACGGCCGTGACCAGAACCGGCCTGATATCGAAGTCGCCCACCAGGTATGCGCCACCGGTGAGGTTTGTGCCACCGTGGTGCCCGGCGTGGGCGTCCTTTCTGACTCTGGCCCGTACTGATGCTGACGGACGGCGGCTCCGTCCCTCCGGAGCGGGGAGGCCTGGAGGCATGTCCTGTGCCGCTGCCTCTCGCCTTTGCTGTCACTACAATCCCCAGCTGGACTTTCACTTGGAAGCACATCATGCTGTTCAAAGCATGGGCACCGGTGGCTTGTGTGGCACCCCCCCCTCTCTGTGTTTGCTTTTCTTGGCGCTTTGCAGATGGCACGAGGGGTGTGTGTGTGTGTGGGGGGGCGGTGGAGGCAGGATGGGGGGGTGTCACCGCCCAGCAACCCAGTGGGGCTCTCCTGGGAGCTGGGGCTTGACGAGCACACACGCCACAGGCAGAAATACATTGTCAGGGGGCGGTGCCTCAGGAAGGGGCGGGAATCATTGTTGAAATCTCTTGCAATGCAATCAGTGTCCTCACTTTTGAGCTGTTGAAGGGAACAGCCAGATGTCGGGGCCTCAGGAAACCGCGTGAACGGAGGTGGAGGAGAGACCGCTGAGGTGGGGTAAGGCGGTCCCTCTACTCCGTGGTCCTCGAAATGTGTCGCCACTGCGGTGACATGTCCTGCTGGTGTGGCTGCAGCTGGCGGTCACGTCTCAGGGTGGGGGGCGTGGGGACTGCTGGATGCGGGGCGCCCATCTGAGAGGGGTCACCGGGCAGGGATCCAACACCCCGTGGGCATTGCGTCCTACGGTCTCAGCCCCAGCCACCAGCCGGCTCACCCTCGGGGCTCACTGGCTTGTCCGTGAGAACTGGCCTGAGCCCCAACGCATGCACGCCCCTGGAAGCAGTGTGTGCATGGCGTCGTCCCCAGGGGGACAGTGGTCCCCAGCTCCCAGGTTGGCTGACGGTCACCCTGTCTGAAAGCTCAGCAGCCCAGTGCAGAGCTGGTGGCCGGGAGGGGTTAGGGGTGTCGCCGGGGAACACGGCGTTTTATTCTGCGCGTTGTGTTGCCCGAGCACAGCCATTGAGGGCACCCCCCGCCCTTCGCCCTGGGAACCTCAGGGAGCTCGCAATGCAAGCTCACCCTAAGGGGCGCCCACAGCTGGTAACCCCTGGTCTCGGATGCAACCCTGACCCTCTGAGTCAGAGTCTGCTTGCGAGCGCCACCGGCCGCCTCCCCCTCCCCCGGCCCCCCAGGTGATGCTTCTGTGGGCAGCAAATTGGAGAAAACGCCACTCTGATAGATGCAGGGCACGGGCGATTATTTCTGTATGAAGCTGAACTCTAACAAGGACGGCTGGCCGTGAAGGCCCGAGACCCATAGGTGTACAAGTTTCCATTTATCTGAAACATGCAAATCCACAGAGACACAAGCCCCCCCCCCGGGGGGAGGGTTGCCAGGGGCTGCCGGGTGGGGGGCACGGGGACGGGGCCTCCTTCTGGGTGACAAACCGGGTCTGCAGCCCGACCCAGGTGAGGTTTGCCGCTTGCGGTGCTGTTCAGTGCACCTGAACCCGTGCGCTCTCCAAAGGTGTGGTTTACGGCACGTGAACGTTGCCTGCAGTAAAAAAAAAACAAAACAAAACCAAAAAAGCAGCCACCAATCCAGGCAAGATCAATAGAGTTGTGAGATGCCGTTTCGCGGCCAGTTCTGTGAGGACGCCAGGAGCTGCCTCGTACATGGTGGGCATGAGGAATGAAGGAGGGACGGCGGCGGCGTGACAGGTGGGCACCTGGGCCGTTTCCTGCTGTGCCCCAGTGATGCTGCAAAGGGGACCGTGCCGCACGATCCTTGAGCAGCAGCCTGACGCCCGCACGAAGCGTCTGCCGGCGAGGGCAGCCCTCCAGCAGGTCACCCGGGGGCAGTTGATGAGGGCATTGTTGGGGGTTTTTAAGTCCAGCGTAAGGACACCTACGGTTTCACTGCATCACCATGGGCGTGAAGAAGTGAGTGGGAGCTCAGGGCAGAGGAACCTGAATGGGGAACCGCCTGAGCAAACTTTCTGTGAGGTAACGCAGGGCAGGCCCACGCCTCGGAGGGGGCACGCGCCCACGGGCGCCTGCGGCTCGGCTGTCCCCGATGCAGGCGCGATGACCGGAGGCTCTGAGCAGGAGACGGGGGACCCGAGACGTGCACAGGGCGGGCGGGGAGATGGCGGAGGCAGGTGCGCGGCCACAGCGGCCACCCAGGCCCCGGGCGCTGACCCCTCCTCGTGCCCAGCCCCCTCCAGGCTCCAGGGCCCTCGGCCCGACGCCCGTGGGCGTTTCCACAAATTGCAGATGTGAAAATCTCGGAAAGCGGAACTCTGGCTCCCACGCCGAGGAAGGACCCTCTCTGCAAACCTCAGGGGTGGAGCAAAGCACCCCCGTTTTAGAGAACCTTGCGAAGGCCTGGAGGAATACCAGCCCGCACACATGTGGAGGAAGCAGGTGTGTCCCCGGCACCCAGGGGACGAGCGGCTTGGGAGGCGCAGATGTTCGTTACAGCCTGTGCTTTTATTTCCTCTTTGATAGAAAGTGAGGTCCCTGTGGGTGGAGGGGGGCTCAGGGTGAGGCGCGGATGGGAGGCTGGTGGGGCCCCCCAAGGGCACACCGGCCCAGGGACGCACACCCAAAGTGGGGGGCTGGGGGGATGGCCCGCTGTTGGGCGGCAGCCGGGAGACGGTGACCAAAAGCCAGGGGGACAAGGGACTTTGGAGCCCAGATGAGCCAAGGGTGCAGAGAAGGCGTCCCGTTGTTTAGATTCCGCATAGAACTGCGACCCTGTGGCATCTGCCTTTCTCTGTCTGGCTTGTTGCATTATGGAAAAGCAGGGTGCCAGGTGCAGAGGGGTGCTGGGTGCCCCCGTCCCCTGCACGCAGCCCCCGATGATCCCCGTGTCCCATGAGTGCGGCACATCCGTGGACGGAGTGAAGCAACGCTGACAGCGTTGCACACTCAGGGCCAGTGTCGACATCAAGGCCACCCTTGGTGTCACGCCTCCTATGGGTTTGGACAAACGGATCATGACGTGTGTCCCCCACGACGGGGTCACACGGAGGAGCCTCCCAGCCCTAGTCCCTCTGTGCCCCCTGTGTGCGTCCCCCACCCCCATCGAACCCCTGCTTCTTTCTATCGTGTCCCCCGCTTTGCCTTTTGCAGAGTGTCCCAGGGCTGGCATCCCAGAGGGTGCAGCCTTTTCAGACTGGCGGCTCGCTGGGCGACATGCATTTCAGCTTCCTGCACGGGTCTCCGTGTACTCACCGCTTTTCTCAATACCTCCCTCTGTTTTTCTTTTCCTTACTTACACTGTTTTAATTGCTGCAAACTCATTTGAAAAAAAAAAGGCAGCAAAATCCACTCGAAACAATCGTTACTGCGACATGGACATCGGATGCGTCCTGTCCGGTCTCCACCCCCCAAGTCCAGTCTGCTTACTGAGGGCGACTGGGCGCCCCGAGAAACTCATCCACGGGACAGGGACGCCCCTAAAACTCTTTTCAAAGGACCGTGCATGTGGGCCTTGGCCTCAGTCGGCACACACAGCAGGCGGGCGTGTGGACGTGCAGAAGCCAGTCATGGGCGGGCTGAGGGCACCCCCGTCCACACCGTGGGGGAGACGGCCTCGGGCGACCTCTGTTGTCAGGAAGTGGGCGCTGCCCAGCGGAGGCGCCAGCGGGCGGGTCCCTCCCGGTTTCCAGGCCGGGGACGCCCGGGGCTGGGTTCACAGCAGTGAAGCCGTCGCCGGCCGGGGAAGGTCAGGGCGAGGCTGGACCCAGTCACTGAGCTCAGGCGTGGAGACAAGGCCGTGTCCCCGAGACCAGCTGTGTGGACACAGCCTTCGTCCCGCTGCGTTCTTTGGGGGCAGCGTGTGCCCGCGCGTGGGTCCCCCTCTGGTCTCTGCTCCAAGCCCCGGGGAGGGAGTCCTGGCGCCCGCGGGGGGCCGCGTGATGGTCCCCAGAACCTGCGTCTGCGTTGCCTCCCGTGGCGCGCGCACACGCAGACCCGGGGAGAAGCCCTAAGGATGAGTCTCGACCTCCGTCATCGGCGGGCAGGAAAGCGGTCAGCCCCTCCAGCCTGATAGCCCCCGGGGCGCGGTAAGGGGGAGTGACATCCGAGGCAGCCCCCCATGCGCATGGCAGGCACCCACGAGCCACACAGGGGAAGGCGGCCTGGTCCCGGGGACAAGGACGCGATGCCCCCGGCAGGGGACGTAGTTCCCCGCCAGGTAGGACGGCTGCGGCAGCGAGCACACGGCGGGCAGGCCGGGCTGATGTCAGAATGAATGCCGACGACGACGGCTGGTCACACAGTGGCTGAGAGGGACGTGCCGAAAAGCGACGTGTGTTCTGGCCATGCAACCGCGCGCTGCCGGGTCCCCGGGCCAGGGACCCCCGTGCGAGCCAGGTCCCTCAGTGCGTGTCTCTCTCTCCAGCATGGCCCGTCCCGCGGGAAGCCCCATGGGTCCCCAGGTGAAGGCCGTCCTGCTGTCGGTGCTCCTGTGCCTGGCGGTCCTCCTGACCCAGCAGGACCAGGGTGAGTGTGCACACGCGCTGGGCCCCTTCCCGTCACCCCCGTGCAGACGGCCCTGGCGCCTGGGGACGTCTCCTCAAGTGTGGGTCCACTTTCCTTTGGCCCCTGACGTTCGTTAGGGACCCCACACAACGAAGCCACACGGAGGTCCCCGGCGAGTGTGGCTGGGGTGCTGGGATGTGGGGTGACCGGAAGTCAGGTGCTTCCGGGGCCATCAGCGCCGTGCGACGGGCTGGGGCACAGGGACAGTGGGGGACCCTGGGTGTCAGGGAAACTCTTGCTCCTCCGGGGCCAATTCATCCCGTGTCAACACATCCAGGGAAAGACAGCTCACCGGGCAGGACAAAGACACCTCTGAACCCCAACCTCCCCTAAGGAGCACTGCTGGGAACCCCTGCCCAGGCCAGGGGGGGCCCCCAACATGACCAGGGAGAAGTTCAAAACTACAGTTTACTTTTGTGAGTTTTAGCCGACCTGTTGCGGGCAGACACGCGATTGCTTTATGCAGCAGCAATGGCGGAAAACAGAGAGGTTAAGCAGCCGGCAGGAAGTCACACAGCCAGGGCATGACCGAGCTGGCAGCCAAACAAACAAACGCGGCGGTGTCTTTGTGCAAATTGGTCTGATTGGAAAAGGGGGACAGTGTGGACACCCCTCCGCCCCCCCGAGAGACCAGATGGGCTGGTGATGCAGGTGGCCCTGCCCCTGCCCTGCAAACGGGGACCTGACGGATCTTTCGTAGAGTCACACTCTGCCTGTCGCGTCCCGGCCCCTCTGCGGTGGGCTGTACGTGGGACAGCACGGACCCCCGTCACTCGGGCGGCCCCGGGTCCAGGGGACGCATGGCCTGCGGGTTGATCGTGTCATCCGAGCTCTGCCGACCGCTGGAGACTTTCTCGGATGGGTATGAACTCAAGGTTTGGCAGAACGCACAGGCTGCGAGGGAAGATTCAGCGTGCAGTCCGCCCTCGGGGACGGACGGTTGTTCACGTCAGATGTGGCGGGGGCGAGTGACATGAAAGGAGAACCCGCCCACGAGGTAACAGATCAACCTTTGGACCCCAGAGGCCTGGACGCAGGTGGCCCCTGGGACCGGACAGGCGTTGCCATGAAGGCGTGTGGCAGCGAGCGCAGAAGCTGTGAGGAGTGACACATCCAAGACGCACATGGAAAACGCCCGGCTACCCCCCCATACAAATGAAAGCCTGAGCCCAGACACGCGGCGACCGCAGCCGACACCAACCCTTTGTCCAGCGGCAGCACGCAGGACGCCTGCCTGCCTTGAGGTCGGGGTCGCACGAAACCCAGTGGCCAGAGCTGCACCAGACCAACAAGCGATGCAAGAGCTTCTGTGACCGTTGGCCTCCCAGGGGCCAGGGCTGCATCAGAAACGGACGCGTCCCCTCGTGTCTGTTCCCACTTGCCCCTGAGGACCAAGCAGAGAAAGCCTGGGGACGGCCCAGCCAGCCACACGGGCGCCCTGCGTCTCGTCGGCCGCCGACGTCTGCCCCTGAGCAGCCGCTTCCGGCCGGACGCAGCCGAGAGTCCCCTAAGTCCCTGTTACGCAGGCGATGGCCGAGTCCTTTCCTTTATCTCCTCACGGAGACAAGGAGCAGGCTGGAAGAAGAGGTGATAGGAAGGGGAGGCGTTTCTGAGGACGTGCCAAGGTCCCGGGGCCGCCTCGGTGACAGGGGACGAGGGACCGCAAGTCCCAGCCCTGGCCGTAGCGTACCCCACCTGGGATGTGTAGATTGGGGGGAAAAACAGGCGCAACGCCAGCGCGGTTTCTGAGTCTGCTGGCCACATCTTTCAGGGTCGCGAAGCGAGAAACACATCCCCTACCTAAACGTGAGGTTCGACCCGTGGAAGATGAACTTAAGTTGGGACTGCCAAGAAAACGTCACCGTCGTCACCTGTCAGATGGTGCACAAGGAGAAAGGGCCGGTGACAAAGAAGGTAGGGTGGGCTCGGCACGCCCCACGGGCGCCCCTGACACAGCTCTCGTCAAGTCACAAACAAGGCCACAGCGGGTACAAATGACAAACGCACCCACGGCCCTGGGCACCAGGACGAGCCGCGGTTCCCGCTGTGCCTGTGCCCAGCGCCCCGATTCCCAGGCGACTGACGGGCTCCCTGGAAAACGTCTTGTCCTAAAAGGAAAGGGTTGTGCAGCCCTCACGCCCACAGGGGAGCAGCTCTGTCTCTGAGCCCCCATGAGGTCAGACCCGGCAGAGGGGTACAGGGAGCCTAGAGGCGGTGGGACCCTCGGGGACGGTCACCCACCCGAGCAAGGAAGGGGACTGGCAGGATGGGGGACCCACAGCATCAGGCTTACCTCCCAAGAGAGCATGCAGAGGCTCCCCGAGTTCCCAGTGGCGACTTTCAGGGGGATGAAATGTCCTTCCGCTGGGGTGACCCGTCGGAGGTCATCCAGGCTTAACCCGGAGGAGGAGCGTTAGCCCCGAACTGTGCAGACGGACTTGATACCATTTAACCGCGAACCTGGAGGGCCTGTTACGGACGGAGAGGCTCAGGCCCCACCTGGGACCGGGTGGCGCGGAACCTGCCCGGTGACAAGGTCCCCGGCAGCCGAGAGCACGTGACATGGCAGTTGTGTTGGGCTTTTCTAAACGCCGCTGCAGGGTATTGAGTTAAGGTCCCACTTGCAGGTCGGCATGTGGCCACGACCCAGAGCAGGCACACGGGGGACATTTCGCATGGCGGGGGGCGGGGGCGAGCGGGGAGGGGACGCCTGGTGTCCTGAGGCCGGCGTACGAGCAAGCGACCTCAACCGGACAGCAGAGGAAGCTGTTGTCTAACCCACTGCCTGGTTGCCCCTTTGCAGCCCAAGGGGAAAGCCTGTTACTGCACGTTTGCGACCTACGACCTGCACAGGGGGGCCACGTTCGTGATTACGGTCAACGACACCAGCCGAGAGCCGATTATAGAGACCTACGCTAACCCAGGTAGGGGAAACGCCATCGTGAGCCCCCTGCACCCCAGGCGCTCCCACGTCGAGCCCCCCGTTTTCCAGCCCTGGCGAGATGTCATGCGAACTCGGGAATTGTGGGTGTTCGTGATGCACCCCTCGATGTCTTGCTAACGGGGACGTGCTGTAAGGCGACGGCCGCAGGGACGCTGTCAACGCGTGCTTTGGCGTCACGTCCAAAACAGTCCCTGCCCAGGCCAATGTGTAGAGACATTTCCCCCCGCGTTTTTGTGCCGCGGTTTTGCAGTGTGGGGGTTTCCGTGGAAGCCTGTAACCCGTTTTGACTCGGTTTCCGCCTGAGATGAGTTTCGTTCTAAAACGGATGTGCGTTCCCCCCGTTTCCACTGTCACCCTTTAGTAAACACGCAGTCGCGTGTGTTCGTCGTGTGTTCTTGGCACGTCGCTGGCCAAAGCTCAGGGGACGATAAATGTGTGAGTGCATTTCTGGGCTGTCTGATCAATTTGCTTTATCTCGAAGTCTATTTTGATGCCCGTGCCCCGCTGTTTTGACGGCTGCACCTGCGGCACGTCTTTCGGGGTCAGGGAATGTGATGCCTGCAGCTTGGCTCTTCTAGCTCGATACGGTTTTGCCGCTCCGCAGTCCTCTGGGGCTCCACGTACGTGTTTTGTTGTCCCTATTTCTGGAGAGAATACCATTGGGATTTTCATAGAGACCGTATTGATCGCTAGCTCACTCTGGGGAGGACGGACATTTCAACAGTGTGAATTATTTTCGCCTAGAAACCCGGGATGTCTCTCCATGTACCGCTGTGTGTTCTGTGAGTCCCTTCATCAGTGTTTTCTCGTAGTTAGTGTACGCGTCTTTCGTGTCTTTGCGTGAGTTTATTCCGACAGGCATTTCATTCTTTGCGTGGCCACTGTGAATGGGTTGTTTTCCTGAGTTTCCTTTTCGGGCAGGTCGTGGTGACTGCGTAGACACACGGCAGACGTCCACTCGTTGATTTTTGGGCCCTGCAACGTTGCTGCGTTTGTTTCCTGGCTCCGACGGTTTCGTGTGTGTGTTTGTTTTGGCCGTGAGGGTTTTCTAGCTACACGGTTACATCCGCTGCAATCAGACACGGCTTCCCTCCTCCCTTTCTGATTTGGGCGCATTTATTTCTTTTTCTTGTCTAATTGCTGTGGCTCGGACTTTCACTGCTACGTTGACTACAAGTGGTGAGAGTGGGCACCCCGACCGTGTACGGGGTCTTAGAGAAAAAGCTTTCAGTTCTGCGGTTTTTTTGTTGTTGTTTTGCTTTTTTTTTTCCGTTGAGTATGACCGTGAGCTGTGGGCGTCTCACGTTTGGCATCGATCGTGGCGAGGCAACTGCCTTCTGCGCCTCCTGGATTGGGTGTTTTCTTTATCCTGAACGGGTGTTGAATTTTGTCAAATGTTTTTCCTGCCTCTGTCGCGATGACCATGTGGGACTTTTCCCGTTTCGTTCTGCGTGTGGTTGGCCCGCCGTGCGTCAACTCCCATGCGCGTGGCAGGCAGCGCTTTCAACGCGCTGTTGGGTTTGGTTCGCTAGTATTTTGTTGACAGTCCTTTGCACAGGTGTTTATGAGGTACAGTGGCCCCTTGTTTGGTTTCCTCGTCTGGCTCTGAGATTAGGGTGCTGCTGTTCTCATAAAATGAGCTGGGAAGTGCTACCTCCTCTATTTTGGGGGGAAAAAACGTAAGAAGGATTTGCGTTAACGCTTCGTCCGTGGTTTGGCGGACACGGAAACCGTGACGCCATCTGGTCTACCCCCCTTGTCACCTTCAGCGGCAAACTGTTTTGTTTCCGCCTCTCCCCCAGGTGAAGAGGGCACGGCCGCCCAAAACTTCTCCTGTGCCGTCCGCAACGCCAGCTTCATGAACTGCACGTGGGCCAAGGGTCCGGCAGCCCCTGAGGACGTCCAATATTTTTTGTACATCCAAGACGGAAAGTAAGCGTGGGCCCCGTGGGGACGACGACGACAGAGACGGTGAGGACAGACAGGCACGTCCTGACGGTTGTCCGAACCCTTTGGCGTCTTACAGGCGAAGCAAGGGAACAGAGTGCCCTCAATACACAGAACGCTCGGGAACCCACGTGGGGTGCCACCTCCAAGACCTCTCAGAGTTGGACTTCTACTCTTACTTCCTGGTCAACGGCACCAGCCAACAAGCCGGGATCCAGTTCTTTGACACTATTTTGTCGTTAAATGAAATAGGTGAGAACGAGACTAAGAGGTAACCACTGCTTCGCACGTCCAGCCGTTGCAATGGACTCTGCATACGTGTCTGAGTGACGTGCTGTAACTAAGGGCCGCGGGCTTCAGGCTTAAAAAGATGAAAATGTTTCCTCCCCCGTCCTGGAGGCCAGGAGGCTGCCGCCACGCTGTCCCAGGGCCGCGCTCCCTCCAGAGGCCCCAGGGGACGGTCCCTCCTGCCCCGTCCAGCTCCTGGGGGCTCCCGGCGTCCCCGGACGGGTGGCCGCCACCCCCATCTCTGCCTCCGTCTCCACGTGTTGTCCCCTCTGTGTGTCCCTCCTCTTCTGTCCCTGATAAGGACACTGTCATTGGGGTCAGGGCCCCCCTGATCCAGGACAACCTCCTCTCAGATTCCTTACTCAGTCCCATCCGCAGACTCTATTCCCAAACAGGATCCTGACGATTTGGGGGCTTGCTGAGATGGCGGGGGTTTCCTTTTTGTTTGTTTCTCTTGATCAGATGTAAGAACAGGGCCACACACGGAAGACAGAGGCCAACTAAAGGGCGTCACCTCTCCTTTTATCCTGAATGGAGCACAGTGAACTGTGGTGGCACTGGTGCCCCCACCTGCACCCCAGGACAAGAGGGTGGACAGTCCGGCCCGGACGTGGGGGTGCTGGCCCCTTCACGGACATCCCCAGGGTGTAGCGGGCACAGCTTTCTCTAGTCTTATTGGGGGGCCGGTGCCCCAGAAAAGCAAGCAAGCAGATTGTAAACCAGATCCTGCCAGTGGATGTTTTCTTTGCATGTTTCCGACATTTTTATTTAAGCCAAGAAATCCAACTACTGTTTTAAAACGCCATCCGCAGACATGGTGATCTATATAGAATAAGAGAACTATAGTTGCTCTGATTTCTACGCCGGGGTCCCCCCCTTCTTTTCAGATACGCGTCAACTCCCCCAGTCAGAAGCCACGGCTTTGCGGGCCCCACGGGGACCCCATCCTCCCAACGCCCTTTCCTTTGGCAGCCCCACAGCCGGCCAGACGGCCACGTGTCCGCACGTCTGGACCTACACACAGGCTGCGTCCCTCTGCGGACAACCCAGAACCCTCCGTGAGAGCCCCCCCCGGGCCACTGGCGTGTTTGTTTGCTTTGCTTTCCGTTGTTTTGCATGTTCCTTCTCTTCTTCTCAGCCCCCGGGCCCAGGCTGGCCCCTGGAGGACACCCCCATATCCTGTTTCTTGCCAAGTCAGCCCCCGCTCCCAGATGCCAGAGGTGGCTCCAGGCCCCTGTCATTACAGACATTCTGGCCTCCACGCCCACCGCTGCCTCCCTCCCTGGGCCTCCGGGAACCCAAACTTCGTCTCTTCTGCNCATTCTTTCTTATTTGTTGCTTATTTACTTTTATCGAGGCGTGAACACTGGATAATCACACTACACGAGTGCAAGTTTATCATTAGAGGTGGTACGTACATGCAACGAATTATTACTCGGCCAAAAAAAGGTGAAACACCATCATTTGCGGCGCCACGGAGGGACCTGGAGGGCCTTCCGCTGAGTGAGATAAGCCAGCCGATAAAGGACAAAACCCATATGATTCCCGTTGTTTTTAGAAAGCAGGTGACAACAGACTTAAACCTGGGCCATGAGCCAGAGTTTTTTTCCTCTTACGGCCACTTTTGCACTTCCTGACCCAGCAGCTGAACTGGAGACAGCCCGGTATCATGTTTTCTAACCAGGTCACAGCTGCCATGAACCCCAAAATGCCTCCGTTCATGAGCACCCTTTAAAAACAAAAACACTAAAAATGAATAACCCGCCTCAAAGCCTGCACCGTTCGCCGTGGTCTGGGCTGTTGTCGTCAACCTCATGTCCGCCCCTGTTCTAGAACCTTCTAGACCCCCCAATACCTTGAGATCACTTCAGCCAGGCCCCCTAGCACTCCTGGTTCCCTCAAAGGCTCCCATGTACTTCCAGGTTCGGGAGTGAAAGAGGCGTTTACCCTTAAAATAAGCAGCAGGACGTGAACGGCTGCACAGTGACCGGGTGTGAAAGGCAAGGGTAGCCCGTCCCCTGCCCGGGGCACAGCTCAGACGTGGACGTGAAGGACCCACCAGCCCCCTAGCATCAGGGGGACACGCGGCCAGCCAGGCCGTGCTGCCGAAGGGGGGGCCTCAGGATGACCGTGAGACAAGGGGCCCGAGACGGACTGCAGGCTGGGCTGAAACACTTCCTGTCCATCAAGATAACACTGGCCTGCCCACACCCGAAAACACAGCTGATGGAAGATTATGCGTTTCTGAAAAGGCTGACCCAGGAAAGACTTCTTTAAAAACATAAGAGAGAGAGAGAGAGGCAGAGAGAAGAGGACACCGTGGGCACCGAGGGCCCGGCCTTATGTCACTCTCAGTCCCTTCTCGCTGGGGAAACGCTGCCAGCTGCTTCCAGGACTGCCTCCGGGGGGTCCCTCGGGGACCTGGGTTCCTGCAGACCTGTCGGCATCGTGTACCCCGTTCCGCGCACCAAGCAGAGAACACAGCACCTTCAGAAAGCCCCCCGAAACGGCCTGAGAGGGACCCACGAGGTCGCCCCACCCGTAAGTCGATTCTCCCACGTTTAGGGCAGTGACAGGGCGCAGGGCGTGTTTGGTAAGAAGGAAAAACTGTCCAAGCTGCATGGGTCGCCCACGGGAAGGCAGGGGGCAAAAACGGTGTGGGGACTGTGCCTGAAGGGGCTTCGTTTGGGGAGAGGGGGAAAACGGCGAAGGCAGACGCAAGTGTTGGCGTGGCTGATAAACCANCAGACAGGACGGAGAAGCACAAAGGAGACAGCGTGCCCTGAGCTGGCGAGACACCTTGGGGACACGCGTCACGTGTCACCCTCCCTGGTGGCTCCCGCTAGTGGCTCTGGCTGTCCCCGGCCGCCCCGCTGCAGGTTGCCACTGCGCTGCCTCGTATCCAGCCCGTCACGTCTCGCTCAGCTCATGTGTCCTCAGCCTGGACATCCGAGCACGGCCACCGGCCCCGGGGTCCCCGTGACCTTGGAGGCCATGCCCGCCGCATGGGGCCAGGACGAGCCACCTCGCCCCCCCTTGTTCTCAGAGCTGCGTCCTGCCCCGGGACCTTGGCGCCTGCCGTGCCCTATGCCCGGATGTCCCTTCCCCACAGCCGCCCCCCCAGGGCACTGCTGCTCACCCCGCAGCTACCCGGTTAGTCTGCCCGGCAGACGTCTGGGGTTTCTGCCTCCCACCCGGCCGGCCAGCCCCTCACGCGTCCCCGTCGCCTCCTCCCCAGGTCACGTGGGCCGCATTGGCGCTGGATGCAGAAAAAGGCGACGACGACGACATCGTGACCATCCAAGAGGTCACAGAGTCCACGGCAACCCAGTAAATGTCACCGGTGTGTCCCCCCCGCCGCCCCGGCCCTCCAACCCCAGTCGTGCTGGAACCTGTGTGTTGCTGTGTGTCTGTGTTTGTTTCCAGTATTTGGAGAGACTTCTATTTTTTTAATTTTTTCTTATCCTTAAAAAAAAATGTGACTCTGTTTTCAAAGATACGGTTGTCGGGACTGTGCAGTGCCCTTCATGCATCCACCACGAACAGCTCAGGCGTCGTCCCAGCCTGCGGCCACCAGGGGCGGGGACGTGGGTCTCTGGGGCCTCCGCTTGTCCCTGTCACATCCCTGTCTTCCTGCCCTGGCTTAGCAAGGGGCGCGTTTCCGAAGGCGGCTGCGCGAGCGACCAAAACCCGTCACGTCACGCAGCCCAGGCTTGTCAGCTTAGAGCCCGTGGGCCGCTCCGCCTCCTTCTCAGAAGGACGCTTGTGATGACATCTCACAACTGAAGGTCGTCTCCCATCTCACGGTCCCTAACTTGATCGTGTTGGCAACGTGTCAAGTCCCACTGTCACAAGCTTCAGGGATTAGCACGGGGACGTCTTTGGGGACCTTATTCTGTCCACCACAAGTGGTAACAGACGGCACCATGACAGAGGCTGAAACGTCACAGATGATGCGTTCTAGCAGGGCGTGAAGGGTCCCTGGGGGGCGCAAAGAAAGACAAAGCACCAGGGGACGGCGTTTGGGGTGACCCTGACCTTGGGGTCAGAGTTGAGAGGTTCCCTTTGGTCGGCCACATGTGCTTTCCGTGTGCTCCCTGCAGATGTTCGCCAGCCCCTACCTGCCGGCCCGGGGGAGTTTGGGGGCCAGACAGAGAGCAGCCGTGTGGCGCTTTCTCCTCCTGGTTGCCACATGCAGGGGACCCTGGGGGACGCCGTGCACTTCCGGGGCTTGCCCTGTGACAGCCCCCGATTGCATCCTTGCCTCGGAGGGCTCCCGGCTGCAGCGTCCCCTCTGGTTGTCTGGAACCCCGCTGTCTGGGACCTGCCAGCTGCACGGTTCGTCAGGGCCGCCCAGGGCTGTCCCCGCCCCCCTGGTGTGGGCAACGGCTTGCACCGTGGTGCCCTGCGAGTCTCATTGGGACAGAGGCACCGTTTGGGGAACTTGCGGACCACAGCTTTGCTCAACAGGATGAGAGGGGGACAGTGGGGTGTCTTGCGGTCGGCGTCCTCGAGGGCCCAGCAGCACGGACTGGCTGTGTCCCC